AATGGAACAGCACCGGCCCTTTGTCATTATTAGCAGACCTCCCATAGCTCTACAACAAAACACAGAGTGAATGCACCGTCCCCTGCCTTTATTTCATTTATCCATTAAAGCTTTTCCTGCTCCTGCAACCGCCTGCTACACGATCCGTACTCCTTTCTACTTTTGAAGGAGAACGGCGTTTCACAGGATTTGCGATCTATCAGATGACAGCTATGTCACAGAGAATCTGTTTGAGCTCTCTGTGTGCAAGTAGCAGTCCAGTAAAGTTGAAGTGAAGTTTTTTGAAAAAGCCTTTTGGATATAAGAAGGTTTTTCTTGCCTGGTATTTATGATCAACCCTAGTCTTCTGTTGCATTTTGAATATTGGCCTATGGGCATCTACAGAGTGATTCAAGCCTCACCAAATATTTTTCTCTTTGTAATTTAACACGGATAGAATCATCGCCCACCTCTGGATTTTGTGTTTTACCATTAAACAAATGTTCATTTGATGTCAGCCACAGGCTCCCCTAAGCCCTCTAAAGGTTTCTAAAATATCCTTATTTTACATCCAAATAAATATATTTATAAATAAATGGATCCACAATTAAGACGCAACATTTTTGTTTATGGTGCTTTCGATGAGAAGCAGCAGCAGTCCTTGAAAGTGGATGAGTCAAACCACAAGAAAAGGACATCTGTTCTGCCTACAATCTGCCACTGCCTGATCGCATCAAGTGCTTTCCTATCTGCCACCCATCTTATACGCCTAAAACACCATAACTGGGCTCACTCATCTCTTGCAGTGTGCTGCAACTGATATTGGATTGCTGCCCTTTTCAGATTAAAATCACTCAAATAGGAGATTGTGGATTGTGTCCATATTAGACCAACGTGCGAGCATCAGCATTCTACGAGATGGGTTTCACTTAAACCGTGAATGCACTGTGATCTCTGACCCAAGAAGTGCTGTTACTGTCTGCGTATCCCGTGTGTCAGTCACAGAGGCTGTAACTCATTTCTACAGTAATACTGTGTTTTACTAAATTGTTGCGTAGTGGCCATCATTACATTACCCTCTGTATCTTCCTAAGTCTGGTACATTTGACATGTTTAATATATTTCTATGATAGGTATTTTGCTCTCTGTCATGTGTTGTTTTGGATGGCAGAAAAAAAACACAGCTGAGTGTTGTCTCCACAAAGATCAGGCTCCTGACTGACTCCAGCTTGTCTTCAATTACCTGCCAGAGAGGAGAGGCTGACACTAACAGAAATTAAGAATTATGACCTCCATTCGAGTAAATTCCCTCCGTCCTGCTGCCGTTGATTAAACTGTTTCTGTTGTTGAAGCAGATGACAGCAGAACCCTGTCTCCTCTCTATAATCTTATCAGAGATACAACAAATCAACCCTCGACCCGCATCGAACTCACAGGGCGAAAAAACCATTAACGGGAATTTTCACAGCAGGAATATGATTTGACAGCTTAATTTTCATCTACAAACAAGAACGCTAATCAATCACGTCACTGCGGGCGGATTTTTCATCCCCCATTCCCTCAGGTCATTTGGCTACAGAAAGTTATTCGAAATGAGGAAAAGATTAATATTATGACTGTGTATATGAGCCCTGTTCATTTATGTACAGCATACAGTTTATATATATATATAAGTAGTAAACATGGTTAATCTGAATGGATACTTGAGTGGAATCAGTGAAATATTGATTATGAATAACTATTCTTTCTTCATTAGGACTATCCTTCCACTGCAGTGCTATGAAACCAAAGAGAAAATGTATTTAATGTATTTCCCTAGATGATATACTGTTATGTCTCAAGTGGATGGGGCCGTTGGAAGTTAACTATTGCTAACCTCTGCCTTATGTGCTCATGGATAGTGGCCTCTGCCTCGGGACACATTGACATTTCTGTTTAGTGCAGGTGTAAAGTATAGCCAGTTTCAGCGGGTAATGATGCATAACATTTTCCCCTGTTAGCACTGCTACACTTTGCATTCACACAATGTAGGCAAACGGGCTTCAAGGGCAAATACTGACCACTGTGTGTTGTGCTGAGCTGCACTTAACATCATGCGTTTTAAAGAGAAAGTCTTTCTTGAAGCTAGTCATAGGCTCTGTTTGTGGTGTGATGTATTTTGAAATGTAACTTATAAGAGACCTTGTGTCAATAGAAAGTAATGTGTTTCATAAACATTCAATAATGAAAGTAATCACCCACTAATTACTGTTGGAGATTCATTATTTAGACATTTAGCCTTGGGTACTTGAACATTTCTATGCCCAGTGGAATCTGATAAGATGAATATTTAATGATACCCGGGTAACAAACATGGGTAAATTCAGGTTGTGCACAAAAGCAAGCAAGCCATAAAATACATTTGATTCCCCTGCGTTGTAGGTCCTAAAAAGTATTAAACTCAACATGTTTTAATTAAAATTAAAATTGAAAGTGGTATGAATACTTTTAAAAGCCTGTATAAGTGGTTATGTTTCTACTGTATACAAGCAATGTTGAGAAACGTCGTTTTTAACAGCAAAGTAAAAAGGAACTTATTAAGCTGATGAATATAAAAATAGTTCTTGGGGCGATTTTACCATAATGTAATAGGATTATGAGATAAGAGTTATTCTGAGAGTGGATGAACCCATGCAACTACAGGTCCACTGTGCATGTAATCATACATTACACTGTGGAAATATAAAAATATACCTGAATATGTTGAAAAAACACCTGCTTCTAATGAACTCTGGCTTTCCAAGAAAGAAATACAAGTGATTCCCTCTCTCATATTTATAGTACTAGTATGAGAAAATCACAGTAATTTATTTATACTCACTTAACTAATTCCGTGTTTTGACAGAACTTTGCAACATGTTTACAGAACGTTGTATTTATTACATTTGTAAGATTAAAGGATCATTAAAATGATGTAACCCGATGCAAGCTGGAAGGTTTTTTATGTTTCTACTTCTGGGGCATGAGGAAGACTTCCCGATGATGAAGATGATGATGATGATTATGATGATGGTAGAGATGGAAACAGATGTTGCAGATAAATTGGCAGGTGTAGTAATGCAACTACCTCCCTCTCAATCTTCCTCCTTCACTTCCACATTCTGTCCACTAAAGAAACTGTCCAATCCATCAGCAGCATCTCCCATGCTACTTATGGACATCCAGACCGGACACATTGGCAGTGGGAAATCACATGTCAGACCACTTCATGGTAGATGACTTTAATATCCGTAACAGTAGCCAGAGAGGCTATACGCTAGAATCCTTCAATAGCCAATGAAGCCGCGGGCCTCTAAACCAATATGGCGTGCACCAGCAGAATGGATGTGTTCCATGGGAGCCCTGTCGGTCGCAGTGTAATTTAATCTAGCCCTTAGGACAAGCATCTCTCAACAGAAATGGAAAAAATATATGTTAGAAATACAGACTTGAAGGAGTGGATGAATTGTATAACCCTTCGCTAACCCCAATCTACGCTCACAACTTCCAAGACTTCCATTTTTCCCTCATCTCATTTAGTATGTCAATGCAAAATCTGGGTAATTTTTATCAGACAAATGGCCAAACACCTAGAGTTGAAAGGCCTCTGAAAGAAGATCTCAGGCTATTTGTTTTATAGACAAGCTTAACGGAGAAAACACCTTTCACCACAGAGAAAACGTACAAAACTTTAGGGAGGAGCTTTTTGTTTTTCTACTCAGTCTCTAACTCTGAAGTGTAACAGAGCAAGAAGAGGGAGAGGGGAAAAGGGGGGGAAACGCATTAAATGAGAAAAGGACAGAAGTGTTGGCTGGCTGTCAGGTTAACTGCTTCATAAAAAGGTGCCAATTTAAAAAACAGACATCAGTGTGTAGAGCTCGGCTCAGCAACGCTCTCGACTCTTTCAACGCTGTCTCAGAGGGAAGGAGAAAACACAAAGACTTTGACAGCCACCTAGAGCTGCATTAACACCTCATGCCAAACTTTACAGATAAACACATACGAGAAGCACAACCTGCAACATTTAGCAGGAAGACGTTAACTGTCAAAACTGACATCTCATACATTGGCCCACAAAGTCCTTCAGAAGACGCAGACATGCATTACACTGCATGATGTTGCACTCATGCCACCGATAGGAGAACATAACCATGCTTCCTGTTTTGTATTTTCAGCATGTCCCTGTGACAAATGTGTTTTGAGCGAGTGGCAGAAACGGCAACTACTGACAGTAACTCCTCCGTATAGCCTGTGAGGGGAGGACAACTCAACTCCATTCCACTCTATCACCTTGCTTTGATAAAACCTAATTTCCCAGGGGCTTCAACTTCAGATGATCTCCGTTAGGCTCAGTTTCTATGCCAAGAAGCAGACAACTTAAAATCTAACGCAAGTTGAATAAGAGCACAACATAACGGCAGAATTTTTTTGGGATACAGTATTGTGTAGCAGGGGAAGTGAGGTATAATTTTCAAACTGTCTCAATTTAACTCCCTCGTGAATTCCATTGCCATTTTAGGGAAGAGTTCTCCATGAGCGATGAGAGCAGAGTGAAAAGCTTGGATAAAAGCACAGCATGAAAGCACCTACTAGGATCACTGTAATGCCACTCTCAAAGCTCTGTGGTGAAGTTGTGAAAACATGGGTTAGGGAAAGCGTGTAACTATATCTCTCAGGCTTTGTTGTATTAAAGGAAAAACATAAGGTCAGAAAGGGGCCATCTGAGTTTGTGATTCATGTCAATTTAAGTTTTTTAGGTTCATATTTTTTCTTTTAATGCATGTCGGGTTTTGTGTAGCTTTTGGAAACATACACAACATAATTAAACATCTAATATGAAAATAAGATTGAGATTATCACCTCAGACAATGATACTATTGTTAATATACTCAAAAGGGTGAGAATGAAAGGAAAAGCCTAAATAAAGATTTAGTTGTTTACCCTTTGTTCCCCCGCAGTGTAAACAGTATTCTATTCAAAAAGCCATCATGATGGAGACTCACATATGTAGTAGTATTCTCTGCCCGGTCTGAACTCAAAGCCCAAGGAGAACGGAGTGAAGAGCTGGAACTTCTCTGAGAACTTGAGCGGCCCGTTGGGGGAGTGCGGCCTGTTGCACTCCCAGCGTTTGAAGCCCTTGGCGGTATGGTCGCATGTGCTGTAGCCATCGTAGTTAACCATGTAGAGGACGTAGCGCTCTGTCCGCTCTTCAGGCACCGAGTCTTCATAGTGAGGGCAGTACACATCCAGGTAGTCATTTATGCATACGTCGATATGGTAGTCTCCACGATGGAACCTGGTGGTTAAAAGGGAGGAAAAGGTTAATTTTGATATCTATTGTTATTAAGACACATCTTATAATTCTAATACGTCTGTGTATTGATGCATCAACATTGCTTCAATAATCACAAATAAAAGGCTGTTTAAATTCAGAACATATGCAGAGAATGCAGGTTTGATCTCTCGGCATTTTTTCAATGCTGTGTGGACATTTACAAGCCTCAGCTCTCTCATCTTCTGGCTCCAATACATTTGTGTGGGTTGGTTTATCTATAAATCAGTCATTGCAACATATATTTACTCACACATACACACATCTGTGTTCCCAACGCATCCATGTCTGAAAAAACATGCTTGCAAGAAAATAGTTTAACGTCTCTTGAAAGAAAAATACACTTTTTCTTTAGTACTTTTCCCACAAAAAGTTAAACAGACAGCAAGCCAGAAGGATCACAGGGATACAGGATGGCCCAGACAGTAAATGTCAGGAGAGGAAAAATACAGAGCCTGGCTGTCCCTGAGGGCTGTGCGGTGAGGCATCTTTACAACTGCAATGATCTAGAACGGGCCACACAGGGTCAGAGGGCTTCAATGCGTACAGGCAGATTCATCAGAAGGCCACACACACACACACACACACACACACACACACACACACACACACACACACACACACACACACACACACACAATTCTCTCTGTTTAACAAAAAGGTTTCTCGTGGGGTTTGGGATGGTATGACCCTAACCATGTCACAGGGGGCCTGACAGAAAAGCACTAAACACGTGTAAGCTTGCTAGAGATGTCCTTACTTTAGCACACACACTTGAAGTGCCCCAAAAGGTGATGATGTGACTTACTAAGTTGAAAAAGTACACGCACACACACACATACACACAGCTGGTGCCACTGCTTCACCCAGAGGCTAGGTGGTGTGGTTCATAATTGAGGCTCAGTCTTAAGTGCTGTAAGAGCACAACCTGACGAGAGTTTTGACAAAACTTTTAATTGAAAAGTGCCACTGATGTCTATAAGAAGGGCTCTTAAAGCTCCACACAAGGGGCAGAGCGTATAACAGGCTAAAATAATTGTATCCTGAGGACTCTCGGGCCTCAGGATTAACTAAAGCAGTACACACGCAGAAGTGTGACCTCTTTCTCTTGCCATCCATTCTTTGTGTGATTGTGTTGTCCTTTTTTCCACATCTCTATGGTGGGGAGGAGGTTGTGGGTCTCAGGTCAAATCTGTTTGGTGGCACCAGGAAGTTTTTTGACAGTTTTTATCTTTAATTTTGTCATCCTAATTCACCATACTCTAATTTTACAATGTTGATGTATTTGTTACACACGGCATGTATTGTATGACTGTATATTCTGGAAAAAAGATCCCTCATCTATTAGTTCTCCATCTTCCTGAGGTTTCCTACATTGTTTTTCCTGGAAAAGTTGTTTTTCTTTCTGACAATGACAGTATGGTGGGTGTAGTAAGCTGTACAAATTGTATATAGTATAGTATATTTATTTGCTTTCTCTATTCAACACTATAGCTAGTTCTTGTTAGCTCAATGTGATGTTTGACTTCTGGTTCTATAGAATTCATTTTCTAAATCGCTTTATGTAAACTAAAAACACTGCCTTTACTTGCATCTGCAGTACATCTATACCCACATCATTATGATCACAATGCAAACCAGACCACTTGTTTGGAAGATCAAATAGCAATTTGTGCAGAATCTGCTTTAGGCGCCTTCACTTGTCATTTATTTCTTTCTGTTATTTGGGATGATTAATGTAACAATCATGCGAGAAATGGAATCGCAGCCATTTCTCATTTATGTGATCATGTGTGTCTGCCCGTTCTGCTATTCTGTATTTATTTATGTGCATGTTTGTGTATGTGACCATAAGCTAGCATGAAATGTAGCCTTTCTGTGTTTACCCGTGTAGGGTAAATACCAATGTGAGAGTGTTTACAAGCAAGGCAGGGAGCAGCTCATCTGTAACATCTCATTTAAAACATGTCTGTGGAGGTCCAGGAAGAGCCATGCATCTCCCTGCTTTAAAATGTCACTGACTTAATGGTCGCATCCTCCCATCCGCTCACGCAGTTTGTGTGTGTGTGTGTGTGTGTGTGTGTGTGTGTGTGTCACTGTGAGCTGAATACGTTTTCACTACTCACTGTGTGAAATATGTAGTCTCTGTAAATTATTGTAAATTTTTATTCAACATGTATATTTTCTTACTTTTTAATGCTATTTTTATTTCTATTTGAGATGTTTACATTTTGAATTGTTTATTTCTAGTCTTTTAATTTCTCTAANGCAAAAAACGTGATGACTACAATTAATTAAAGGGAGGGAATCCTCATGACCTGGCAGAGACTGGTCTGTTTTATCGGATGATAATTATTTAAAAATGTGTGTCATGAGGATTCCCTCCCTTTAATTAATTGTAGTCATCACGTTTTTTGCATACATAAAAAAAACATAAAAACAACATAAACGTTTTCTTCTTTGTATCTATGATTTATTTGACCAAATTCTGTATGCTGCAGTTTTTCTTTGTGGCAGTCAAATAACATCACGCTAAGCAAGAAATGAATATTCCTTTTCCCCCTCCTTCCTGCACTCATATTTTTCCATAAATTGTCAAAGAGACCTGGATGCAAACCAGCTTCAAGGTCTGGAAATGAGTGTATTTTTACTGGCTCAGACAATGTCCAGAACATATTAGCCGTGTAGGAAATGTGCTGAATATTACGGGCTCCTCTACCCCGGGCCAAGAAAGACAGTTGGTGCAAACCCCAGACTGCTCCGCGGCTGCTATCTCTCAAAATGTCAAAGCTTTGGTCTGCTCTGTTCTGCTGTGGCTCGAGGTTGGACCGGGCATTGCAGGCGAGCTGACTGGCGAGCTTTCCAGTTTGCTGAGTCATAGTGGCAATTAAATGTGACCGGAGACTTTAGGGTCAACTGTGACACCCAGCCCAGTCAAAAGGAGGGCTGAGGACCAGGCTCAAACTGTTGCCACTTCCATGTGTCAAAAAAAACTGTCCCAGTTTCCTATTTAAATGCTGAAACAATGTCTATTGTTTGAGCAATATCAACATTGTGTGTGTATGTGCACACATGCCTACAGGAGCACCTCTTTTGGAAAAAAAAATTAAGTAATTCCAGATGTGAAATAACAACATTAGCCTGCCACAAACATTCAAAGTCTCCAAGGCTCATGAATTCAGAGTAAAGTTATTTATGATCCCATAAATGGGATTATTTTGAAGTAATCCATTCTCATGAAGAAGAAAATGGAGCCAAGCCTTAATCACCAGACTTGCGACCTCTTAGCTAAACATTCCTCACATGCTGCGCAAATGAGCCCTAAAATGTGCTTGAAATGGTATTCTAACAGTTACACTAAGTTTCCTGGTCTGCAGCGTCATGTGGGACGGCAGCTAATGATCCAAAAGGGAGAACAAAATGAAAGGCAATTTGTAACATCTCATTATGCCCCTCATTCATTATTATAGTTTAGATAATTCATACTGTGTGGAGATATTTGCTCTGTTAACAAAAGAAAATATATTAAAGTCATTGTCCTGTAGTTGTTGACAATGCCTTTCAAACCACTTGCCTCAACCACAACATCTATTTAGTGGAAGAGGGGATGCATCTCCCTGTGAGGAAGGAGAATAATAATATAACTCATGTGAGCAGCCACAATAAAATCATACCGTTTGGTCTTGTAAGGTCATGTTAAAGAACATTATAACTCTTAAACTTGTCTCCTTGTAATCCATGACAGAGGGGGAGAAATAACATAAAGTGCTTTTGGCTACGAGCACTGTGCTGAAATTCGAACATCTAACATCCGTGCCTCCTGTGATTGGTCTGTGAACACTTGAAATCTCTGGAGACTATGGTAGGTGCAAAGTTCAGCTTCGACGCATGCCAAAGAAAGTAAACATGAGGCCAAGAAGTGTGTGGTGAAATCCAAATCCCACACCTCAAATCTGGATTCACTGACTTTACGAGATAGCTTTAATATGATGTACTGTATATGATAAATGTCACATCCTGTATTATCGAGTAACATCAACAGTGATCATTTTGGTTTCTCGCTTAATACAAGATATGATTTCTACATTAATATACAATGGGGAAAACGATAAATTACTGACTGATCGTTCTGATGACTTCATATGACTGAAACCGTTTTGAGGGTGATAGAAAGTGTGAGAATGCAAGAGGAATGGAAACACAGCCAAATAGAGACTTATGGAAAATGGCTGTCTGTTGTTCTCCTTGATTTTTGGCTTGCAATACGATACTGTTTATATCATAGCAAGAAATTCTAAGTGATAGTGGCCAATCTTTGCCAGGCAGTTATTACAGATTGGCCAAGTCATCCAGCAGTAGTAACTACATGTGAATGTGTCAAAGGAGCACACAAACACACAAACACACACACACACACACACACACACACACACACACACACACACACACACACACACACACACACACAAACTGTTGTTAGATGCTTTTTACCAGCACAGATATTCAGATTTAGCACTACAACCCCACATGTTGTTCTTGCTTAGTAACAGCAATAAATACGGCATCTCTTAATCCAATGACATTTCCAAGGGATCAGCGATGATTTCTTATGGGGATCTAAATGTGTTTCCAACCACAGTCATATAAGTGAACCCTTAGAGAGCTGACGCAGTAACACGGTGGCTGATTTATGGTCTGAACACAGAAAAATGAGTGAATGAATAAAGTGCTTTTCCCCATAGTGTAATATCCTACATGTTCCGCCAGATCCTCAGACCCAATATGGTTCTGCAAGTGGCTTTTGCTGCAGACTGAACATGTTCTTGGCCTCCACGTGATAGGAAGCTCTCCTCTGAATGTTCTCTGCGTGCTTCAAAGATATGAGATTAGACAGCTGCATGTCACACTCATTGTCCTTCGTTAACAAGACTAATTTGTGCCTCATTCTGTCTTCCAGCTCATCCAAAATCTCAGACAATCATTCTGGCCCCCACTGGGTTTGGGAAGAATCATCACGCTGGCATCCATATTTGCACCATCTGTGATGAAGAGAGCTGTGTGGTTATAGATCACTCACACACACTCCAACACACGCACATTCATAAACATGTATGCAAACACACAAATGCTTACATATACACAATCCTCTCTCTTTCCCTGCATCACACAACAGCTTCATGGCACACACACACACACACACACACACACACACACACACACACACACACACACACACACACACACACACACCTGCAACCCTATGTCGTAGTTGGTATAATCCACGTTCTTAGGGAAAATAACTTTGTGCGAGTGTGTGAATGTAGGTATTACAAGGTATTACGTCCGGGATATTACGCTGGTAAAATTTAGTAAGAAGATGACGGTGACACTCCCTCACCTAGTGTAACTGAGGGAAGTTATATGGGATTATTGTATCAGTAACCAAAATCACGTTATTTATGTCACCCTGTGTACCATCCTCCGGGCAGACAGTTGCACGTGTCCTAAAAGGTACTTCTAGGAAAACCCACAAATCCGTTGTCGTGTCGTCTCTCTCTATATACTCCACCCAGTCATATGGTGTGATTACGATTTCGTTTCCACCAGACTCGTCGACACCGTTATTGACGTTCGGACGGTCAATAGTACTATATAGTCGACCGGACAAAGTGTAGTCCGTCAACTTCGACCTAATCGTTAGTGAGTCAAATCCGAGTAGTCTGAATAGTAGAGTAAAACTACACCAAAAATTGGATTTAAATCAGTTCTCCTAA